CGATCCAGTCAGCAGTTATTTCACCGATGAAAGAAAGAGACGCTAACGTCAAGTGGCACTTACCCTTGAACTTGATCTAAATACAAACAGGAATATGGAAAGATCTCCTTTAAAGCACATTTTTATTGGTATCTGTTATACAATTTCTGTATGTGGAGCAGACGCCGGCGATTGTCCTGCGTGTGTTTATGTATGTATAAGGCATTCATGAGATTAGTGTGAACCTTGTCCTCCCTGAAGGTTGCGGAGGCCAGGCACGCTGCCACTGCCTCATATGCATCTCTTTTATTGTCTGCTGTGCATAATCACACTCCTCTCGCTTCTCAGTGCCAGACTTTTGACCCTTTTTATTTTGCTGTCCATTTTCAGCTGCCCCACAACCCAACAGGCATTAGGCTAGTGAACAGATGTGCAGGGAGCAGCCAGTTAATGCTAATGAGCTCCTCTGAAACACCAAATCATTTTCATAGTCCACATGACAGCAGAGGAGGAAGAAAGCTAACGTGTTGTGTCCAGTTTTATTGAAAGGCTAGCTTCGTTTTATAAATTTTTAATTGTGGGTTTTAACTCGCCCGGCATCGTCTGGGTCATGGGCCAGACACGGGTTGGTGTGCGCGTTAGTATCAGCGTGTGCATGTGCGTCTGCACCACTGCACTTGCATGAGCGTTGTGGCTATTTGTGAGTATGCATTTCCCCAGGCTACACAAAGCAGGGGACTCCTTGACAGTTTCTCCCTGTCACTGCACAGGCCTATGTGTGTGTGTGTGTGTGTGTGTGTGTGTGTGTGATCAATCTCACGTGGACCAGTCATGGTGTCAGGGCAGCAGTGGATCTGACTCTCACTCTCTCTCCCTCTCTACTCTCCCCATCTCCCATTCCTCTTCCACTTTCTCCCTTGCTCCCTTCCATATATCCTTTTCTTTGGCCATGGAGCAGAAGGAGAGCCGGGGTCAGGAGCGAGCCGTCTGAGCATCCATTTTTCTGCAGGATAATTAATGCACGCCGAGCTGGAGGACTGATCCCAGGACTGCTCCAAACAGGTACGTGTGCCGTCCGCTCTCTTTCACATTGTCATCAGACCTCTGCTGACTGACTGACTGACTGACTGACTGACTGACTGACTGACTGACTGATTTGCTGACCAGCATTCACTCACTCTTGCACTTTTTCACTCTCTCTCTCCACCCCTCCTACCTCTCTCTCTCTCTTTCTATCTCCCCCTCTCTCTCTCCCCCACTCTCCCTCCTAAGTTTCTATCACACACTCACACACACACACACACTCAGACTCTCTTCTGTGCGTTCACACGTCTGTGAAACTGATCATGCCCATTACTGAGTAACTTCAGCAGTGTTTGGTGAGGAGGTGAAAATAGCTCACTTTCTCTTCTTCCACTGCGTCGTGTGGGTTTACAGCTTTACAGGTGTTACAGAGGCACATTTTGAGCTCTAAGATGGCAAATGTCATGTTTCTGATATTAAAGTGGGTTTTCTTCACTGCACTGAGTGGTGCGTGCTGTTTCTGATCGACTTTTTTCAAAGGTTACCGCTTTTCTCTATTCTCTGATTTTGTGTTTTTGATATTTTTTCCCTGCAAGGATAAAAAAAAGTGAAACAAAATGTGTGGCAAAGTGCGGTGGTTCAGACACAGCTCAATCGCTTTATATAATGTTGTCATTTTTAGCTTTATTCAGTTCCTAAAATGTACACAAATCAGAAGTGAGATCATGAGAATGTATTTATTTCTGAGGGAGTTTCTACAGATTTTTACCTAGGTAAAAAATCCTGGACTTTCTTATAAAACATATTAATGTCATAACATTTTGCTTCATTTATGAAATATTCTGAAATGACATACAAACGGTCATTTGTAATTTCTATTCAGCATTCATGTTAATGTTTTTTTTTTGTTGGTCTTTATGCACATTCGAAGGATGTGTGCATATTTGGGCTGGTTTTCAGTTCTCTGGGTGGAACAGCAGATCAGCTTTCAAGTCCTAAAGTCCTGTGGAGTAGCAGTAACTTTATTGATGTAAGCAGAGGAAAGGGTGTTTCCTGGAAGTGTCAGTCTTTCTCAGATATAGAGATATTTTTGCTCAGGGTCAGCTGATTTTGGAATTGATTTGGAGAGCACACCATGATTCGCTTAGAACTCTTCTCTGCTCAAGTGTCGTCTGTCAAATCCGTCTGGACTCCCGTCAAGCTGTGAAATAACTTAAACACATTAACATTGCATTTATTAGATGAGGCTAGGTGACCCATTTAGTAGTTGTTTCAAACCTAATTTACACGTACCTAATCCTTGGTCCCAAAGGTTAATGCTTGACAAATTAACCCCTGCAGCATTATCTTTCAAATGGCCTGCAGCATATGATAACCTATAATCAATATCCCCAATTACGTGTCAGACGGGGGCTATTGGCCGTGACCTGTCTCCCATGAAGAGACTTTCTGAGGAAACAGGATCTCCTCCACTATGCAGATGCATGGTCTCCATGATTCTGAGGTCATTACACACACCTGGGACCAGCGAACCTTCTCTGCCTGGACTCTTCATCATCTTCTTTTTCATCTTCTTCTTCTGACTGTCTTCATGTCACTTTTATCTTTGTCACAGATTTCTGTGAGCAACTCAGTCCAAGGTAATCTGCTGTTTTAATCAATATATAAATAAGACATAGTCTAAATGTTTAGCTGAACATTCAGTTTTTAATGCACATTTTTATTCTCACATGTAGATTAACATTATTAATATTTGTTTCTTGGCAATTTTTTTGATTATTTGAAGCAAAAAATCTTTTTTTAACAGAACACAACACTAATTTAATATGTGGGATTTTAGATATTTCTATTGTTTATATTGAAATAGATTAATATAATAAATTTAAAAAAGTCATCATATTGCTGGATTTTCTGATAGTTTTCACAGAGGACATCTTCATTTTTTATTTTTAATCCAACCCAAGCATTTGTGTAAAAAAAAAAAAAGCAAAATAAGGTGACAATATGTTTTATTGCATCACCATTTTCCATCATTCTGCATTATTTATTTTTTTTCAGAAAAAAGTTTTTTTTTCAAACCCAAAAGAAACTATAGGAGACCATGACACAAATTTGACCAATCGGAATAATGTCCTATAATTATCAATCAACGTTTTAAAGTGTTAATTAAGTCATGTTTGCATCTAATATTGAACTTCGGATTTATTGCGTCCCTGAAGCTTACATTTAGTAAAATAACGGAACAATGAATCCATACATTTAAACTCTCAATTAAGGCCCTCGGCAGGACGAACGTAAAACTTCATGTACAACTTTTTGTTTCGGTTTTGACTCTCCGAGTTATACTATTTAAACGATACGGTACCAATAATAATAATAATAATAATAATAATAATAATAATAATAATAATAATAAAATGTATTGTCATTTGTATTTATATTATTAAATACCCAGCGGTTTGATGTTTGTAATTAATGAGATACAATATATGTAACAAAAATTAAAAAATCGTGCGAACTATGTTTTAAAATTATTTATTTCATTAATTTAATTACTTTGTGCCGTTTTCCCATCTTTATGAAATAACTAATATGAAACATTTTATCCTTAATTCCAGTGTAAAGATTTTTTCTTTTAATTCAGTAAAGAGGAAACATCTTCATAATTGTCAACATTAGTTAATAATAATAATAATAATAATAATAATAATAATAATAATAATAATAATAATAATACAACAGTATAACCAGTCTTGGCAGAGCTTCCAGGCAGAGCTTCCAGGCAGCTTCTGTCTGTCTTTCCTCCCTGTGTGACTGAACCCTCCACCCCTGTTTCCCTGAATGGTCACTGACTGCTGAGACCTTGAACTTCATCCTTGCTGGGGAGGGACGGAGTTCCGGGGAGGGGGGGCAAATGAGGGCAGCTGAGAGCCATATGCCTCTGAGTGACTGCTGTGACACTCATTTCAGAGGGAATGCTGCACTGACTGAGGTGATGGTTGAAAAACGACTGCTGCTTTATTTATTCATTCTCTGTGTCATTTCTGTCTTTGTGTCCTGTGTATTTGTTACATTCTTTTGTTTGTCGTCTCAGTCCAGTTTAGTGACCAGTTTAGTGACCAGTTTAGTGGCTGAAACAGTCCTGTCGTCACTGATCCTCATCAGGATAAAACTGGGAGAAACAATAATTATAAAACGTATTTTTGAGCGAGCATCAAGTCCTGAAATCTCAAACAAAATGGTCCGTATATAAGACAGCAGCTTTCCTTATGGCGAGGCCTATAAATACTCAGCCAGGAATAAGGAGTGAGGTGGAAATGTCTGCTGCAGCCACACACACACACACACACACACACACACCCCTTCATCCGAACTACAGGGTTTAGGTCCATCTTTGTTTGCCCTTCACGGGCAGGATGGCGCAGGGAATGTGTGTGTGTGTGTGTGTGTGTGTGTGTGTGCTTACTGTAACCAGTAAAAATAGAATCGTGCAGACAACAATTAATTATTTCTTTTGCTCTTTTCCAAATGTCGTGCTCGTGGTGGCTGCTTTCATCCTGGGGTATTTCTTTCTCCTAACAAGGACTATTTTGTTTCACAAATGTTAATTGATTAATGATCAAACGTTCTCCTGGAGTAGATACATTTACATCCTGCATTGATGTCCCAGCCTTCTATTTTCTGCCGTGCATCAATTGGGGCTATGTGAGACTACAGGCCATATCCTCTGTACGATATGTCAGGTGGTGCAGTAACTATGATGTCATGTTTGAAATCCCTTTGGTCTCCGGCAGAGTCAGAGTAACTCCTAATGATGAAAGCTAAATAAACGCCTTTATTTTCTGTCTTTCTCCAAAAGATGCTGCTTTGAAGGATGAATAAATAATGTTCAGAGATGAAACTTAAAAAGTAAACTCGGGGAGATGAACTGTCTTATGGTCTTCGAACGATCCCTTTGCATATTCATTGTCAGGAGGGTGAAAAAAGAAATATAATAGGTTTAGTTTAAATATAAAAAAAAGATGCAGGTGTTTCTGATTTGTATAGCTTTAACGTTTTTAGTTTAAAATAAAGGCCCTGGATTTTTTAAAAATATAATTTGTCAGTTCAGGCTTGCATAAAATATTTCGTACCTTAATACCTTCATAGGAAAATAACGAAATATTAGACCATGTTGTTTATACATGTTGTTGAATAATTGTCTATTTAAATAGCGTAATAATTAAATGATTCAAATGTTGCAGTAAACCTAGGCCGTTCCTCTGATTACTGCATCAATGCAAACAAGTGTCCTATTTAAATGGCCCATTAATTAGATCACTC